TCAGTACTCAAGCTATGTTTGTTTAAATTTCTGTTACAGTACATTATTTTAAACCTACAGTTTACAGTGTGTGTTTCTTAGCTGACCTACCCCTCTCGAACAGTAAGAAGTGAGTGTTGATAAATAATACGGATATAATTTGTTAATATTCATATTATTATTATTAGTTGAAATCACCCCTTAATATTCATATTATTATTAGTTGAAATCACCCTCATTTTTCTTACACAGAGTTCTTCTCTAATAGAAGAAGCTCCTGAGAAAGTATTCAGTTTTGAGGTTGACTGTTTCTTTTAGGACATCACACTGGTACACAGTTTTAAAGTGTCTAGCACTTACGTGTTCAAGCAGTTTCTGGGATTCCGATGTAGAACGATAGATGCAGTAAAATGCCCCTCCAATAAGGGCAACGACAAGTATGTTGAGAAAAATTCGTGGCGTATATATTCTAGCTCTCTGGGCCATAGTATGTTGGGCCTGTTGGCACCTCATCTTCGCCTCTTCTAGATCAACCTGGTTGAAAAAACAAGTTTGTTTAATAGCTCATAAAACAATATGCAAAGTGTTGTAATCCATAACAACTGGTTTCTCATGATTAATTGTTGTGCCTAATGTCTTATGTGACGAAAGTTAAAATGTGATTAAAAATACTCATAGGGGTTATTTTATGAAAGAGTCACACAACTTTCATTGAATATTCACACATTTTTGTAACTGGATTTACATTTTTTTTTTAATAGACCATTTAGTCTTTAAAGAAACACAGGTATCACCTGATGGCCTGATTACTACAGAATGGAAGCTGCCTGACCATGTCTTTACCATTGCAAAAGGTTTTCCCACTATTTATCCCTTATCTTGGAGCCTTTCTTGTTCGACTGTGGTGGTTCTTTGCAGAACAGCTGGTTTCTAGGGAAAGACTGTTTGGCTTTTATTTGGATTAGTAACAAGCAGCCCTAAACCTTCACTGAACATGAAAATGAACCTGCAATCAGCAGTGAAGGTTAAACGAAGGTGGATCTTATATTAAGGAATTATCTGAAATGATCTTCTGATGTGTTTCTTACACAGTGTGCATGCCAGCTGTTGTTACTGTAGTGAGTGCCACTGATCTTTGAGGACAAGCAAAGTCCTAGGTATCTCAGAATCTGCAGTGTAGTAGAGATATACTGCCTAGTTTAGTATAACTAGGCAGTATACCTATAGTACAATATAAAGTGTAACTCAGCCAACATAGAAGCCGAGCATTGCCTATTTGGGCTTACTGAGCCAATACATATTGTGTGGTACATTTAAATGTATTCTCCTTTTCTTCTCCTATAGCATAAAATGCTTTATTGCAGTAATTGCATCCCCCTCTTTAGTACATCTAAGCCAAAGACCACACCCAGAATTCAACAACCCTGGACTACCAAGTCCTCCAAGTCTGTTGACAAGCCCTTCACTGAATGAGTATTTGCCCCACACTTGCCAATTAAAGGGTGGGGGATGTCTGTTGACATTTGCAGATCTTTGACTAAAGTTAGTATCTCTGGAATTGCCACCTTCCCTCCAAGCAGCTTTTTCACTTTAAATTTCCCACTTTTCCTGTGGTAGGCAGTGACCTTCCACCATTTCCGAACATGTTTGGACTATTCTGGACCTCAAGGCTCTAAAGGTACCTCCTAACATTCTTACCAGACCTAAAGGATCTAGTATGAATTGGGAGGGGGACCCCACACCTGCTTCGACTGTGTCTTTGTTTCAGCCAAGCCAAATGCATATGCTTCGGCTCGGCTGAGCGGCTTGGCTGACTTTGGATGCTGTACAAGCTATTGTGAATAGCCTGTACAACAGCCCTGAGAATGTAGTGGATAAACAGCTCTCAAAAGATATCGTTTTCAAATCTTTCTATACATTTATTGATGTGTAGCGTCACATATATCAAATAGCCAACGTTTCAGGGCCACGCAGGTTCCCTTCACCAGGGCGACATAGGGACCTTTTGGCTCAAGGGATGACTTTCAATAGATTACAGCGAGGTAGCTGCTCTGCTACACACGAAACCCTGACCCAGAATCAGGTCACCTACGAATTATTTAGCACCGGGTTCCCAACAAACATGCGATGACAGTGACAGTGAAATAACATGTACACTCACAAATATGTCGCCCTGATGAAGGTACCCGGCGTGGCCCCGAAACATTGGCTATTTAATATATGTGATGCTATACATCAATGAATGTATACAAGGATTTGAAAATGATATCTTATGAGTGCTGGTGATCCACAACATTCTCAAGGCTGAATACACAGGGTGCCATCCGTGTTCATCACTACCAGCACCACATCTGCTACACATTGTATACGCTGAAAGGAGTGCAGGGGACACGTCTGTACACTACTGTACAGTAGCCCTTCGGTTCTGCTAAACTGAAGGTTCCCACGGCCAAAGCAAGTAGAAGGATAAGCCAAACCTACAGCTATATCCTTAGTGAATAACCCCATGGACTTTTTTTCACGAAGGGAAATATTTGTATTTACGTCATACTGCTGTTTTGGGACTCTGTCTTGATTCGCCGGGCATTTTGGGGGCCACAGGATGATGAATTCAAAGTCTAATTTGGGGATGGACTGTAGGAATTTTGTGAATTCATGTGTTACATACATCTGAAACAAGGTCATGAGATCCAACACCTGGGGGTTGTTAAGATCTCTTTTGGTCCTGGAGAGACCTTGTACGATACGAAGCTCTGCCCTACGTACGTTACGTCAAAACACGTGACTTCATCAGACTCCTACGTACGTTACGTCAAAACACGTGACTTCATCAGACTCCTACGTACGTTACGTCAAAACACGTGACTTCATCAGGAGTCTGATGAAGTCACTTGTTTTTGACGTAACGTACGTAGGGCAGAGCTTCTGATGTCACTGCACTGAGCTGAGCTGGACAAACAGGTTTTTTTATCGCTTTGCTGCCATTTGCCTTGCTTGTTTGATCCAGCAATACCCAATGCCTGTACTGTTTACACCATTGTGAGTACGCATTTTTTATTTCATAAATTGCATTTTATTGGACTTTACGCACTATGTCCTTGTCCTTTTTCTCTTTCCTCCTGGATTTAGACTGGTACCTGTGATCTGAGGAGACCTTATCGCCTTTTCTGTGCATGGGCTTCCCTCCCCCATTAAGAAGGGAAAAAGCGCATTTGACCTAGCTCTGTGGGTCTACCTCCCCAGGTGAGCACTCACTTGTTGTCATCACTCACTGGGTGGAGGTGAAGGTCTGCCTGCATTGTGTGATTATCCTTACCTGAGAGTTATATGCAGATTGGCTGCGAATCATCTGGGGAATTTTTTTTGCACAATCACCATGTTTGCTTTTGTTTTTTCCTGGGACTCTTTTTGTCTATATTGCTTTTTTGTCTGTGTGTAGATATTTTCTATGCCTCATTTGTTTGAAGGGTCATATATGTGACTCATTTATATATGTTTCAATTTATTAGATGTGTATGATTATTAGTTCGGCACAATATTGTTTTTCAAAGTGAGGAATGAAACGCTGGTAATAGCCAGAGATTCCAAGAAATGCTTGTACCTGCTTCTTGTTGGGACGTGGCCAATTCTGTATGGCCTCAACTTTGTTTATTTGGGGTTTTATTATTCCCCTCCCAAGATATTTTGCCTCCTCTTGCCCAATGGTACATTTTTGGGGGTGGCTGTAAACCCAGCTTTTCATATGGAGTCTAGCACAGCTTGAATTTTTGGCAGATGTGGGGCCCAATCTGTGCTATGGATGATCACATCGGTCAAGGTAAGCAGCAGCATACTTTTGATGAGGCCCTAAAATCCTACCCATTGTCCACTGAAATGTTGCCGGAGGATTCTGTAACCCAAAAGGCATTCTTTGTTATTGGAATGCCCCAACTGGAGTTACAAATGCAGTTTTCTCCTTCGCCGATTTGGATAGGGGAATCTGCCGGTACTCCATGGTCAGATCGTCATATACCGGGCTGTTCTTAGTAGGTTAATTAATTCTTCTATACGGAGCATGGGATAGGTGTCAAATTTAGTAATCTTATTAAGCTGTTCGGAAGTCATTGCAAAATCACCAACTCCCATCAGGTTTGGGTACTGGCACGTTGGGACTGGACCAGTCACTCTGGGACTCCTCTATACAAGCTAGTTCAAGCATTCTCTGGACTTCTATACATATTGCCTCCCGTCTGGCTTCTGGAATTCTATAGGGTTTCAGTTTGACCCTTTCACCTGGTGGGGTGATATCATGTTCTATCCCAGATGTTTGTCCTGGAAGCTCCGAGAAGACCTCCTTATTCCAGAGCACAAATTCTTTAACTTCCTGTTGTTGAATTTTCGATAAGGTGACTGCTATCCCAACCTCAGGTGCCAAATAATCTGATTGAGGTGGTGATGGTGAAGTCTTCGCTACTAGGGATTCCCTATCCTTCCAGGCTTTTTACAGATTTACTTGATATATTTGTTCTCGCTTTCGCCTTTATGGTTGTCTGACCCTATAGTTCCCTTCACTCACTTTTTCAATTATCTCACATATACCCTGTCATTTGGCTGGGAATTTACTTTTAACCGTGGAGATCAATACCAGCACCCTATCACCTGGAGAAAAGGTGTGGGTCTGGGCCCCATGATTGTAAATCCTCTGCTGTGCTAACTGCGCTTGGGCCAAATATTCCTTTACAATTGTTATCACCTGAGCCATTCAGTCTTGCATCTGTGCAATATGCTCGATACAGTTTTGTGAGCAGAACTCTCACTTTCCCAAGTTTCCTTAGCGAGGTCCAATAGCCCCCTTCGGTGTCTCCCATACAATAACTCAAAGGGAAAAAACCCCATAGGATATTAGGCAATCCCAGTTCATTCCATCTTTATCCACCACCTTCCATAACATTTGTTTCAAGGTTTTGTTGAACCTTTCAACCAACCCATCTGTTTGGGGATGATACACTGATGTACGTAATTGGGTCACTTTAACCAAGTGGTATCAAAGTACCGGCCAGCGGGCCAATTTCAGCCCGCAAGCCGGTACTATGTGGCCCGCAGCCAGCTCACACGGACCGCGTACCAGACTTGCGAGAGGAGATCTGTCGGATGCAGACCGCATACCTGCTTCTGTGCCGGCACTCAGATCCTTTCGGCCAGCGTCTTTGCTGAATGCTGGCCCGAAAGGATTGATTAGTAAGGTCTGCAGTAGACCTTACCAATCAACCACTAGATCACCAGGGATCAATTGTGCCTCCTCCCTGCAAAAAGGTAAGCAGGAGAGAGGGCTCTGTATTTTATTTTGTATGTGGGTGTTCGGGGGGAGGGCTGACTGTGATTCATATTATTTTTATATGTGTGTGTGGGGGGGGAGGGGGACTGGGAATTATATTATGTTATATATGGGTGGGGTGAGGTGGGGTTGGGAATTATATTGTTTTATATGTGTGTGTGTGGGTATTTTTTCATGTGTATGGGGGGGGGGGAGGGTATTATTTTATATGTGCAGGGGT